TCACTTGCTACTTCTTCCTGTCTTTGGCATTTCCTCTCCCTTTTCTGCTGTTCTCTTCTTTCTGTCTCTTTGCCTTTCTTTACCCCTCCTTCCTCACTGCCCCCCTTCTCTTCCTCACCCCCTTCTCCCTCCTCCCTGTGTCCCTCCTTTCTGTATGAGCCAGAGCTCCACTTTTGCATGGACAGGACTCACGCTCGCCTTGGCCTTGCCTGTTGGGAACAGGGTCTGGTGTAACTGGACTAACCTTCAGGGTCCCCCATGGAGATGCAGGCCTTGCAGTGAGGGCACTCAACGAGCGCGTGGGACAGCCCAGCACTCCTGCCACCCTGACCAGGCTGCTGGGGCTTCAGGGCTAGGTCTCAGTAGCACTACGGTGCACAGATGGTAGCATGGTGCCCCAGCCCCTGTTGCTCTATCCACTCTTGTGGCAAATCCTGGGGACAGTACACTGTCTTTGATCCCACTCCCAATCTCAGCTTCTAGGACCCCTGGCTGAGAATCAGAAGCCCTGGGTTATGGTCCTGGCCCTGCCTGTGACCACCTCTGTGACCTTGGGCAAGTCCCTTAACTATTTAAAGCTCTATTTCCCCATTTGAAAAATGGACAGAGGATAGCTCTGTCTTGCATATTTTGCTTTGTGGTTTGACACGTCCCAGACATAGTGGACTCTTCATCAGGGTCATGTTACTTTTTTTGAGGATGATGTCGTCCACTAACATCTACCCCCTGCCTCTTGGACATGCAGGCCCATAGGCTTTGAGCCCTGGGAGGGAATCACCTCATCCTTTCTCTGCTCATCTGAACCTGGAGGCTCAGGTTTACTCCACACCATGGTCTTCAGAAGCTCCTCACAAAAGTTCAGGGTGATGGGAACTGCCACTCACTGTGGCAATACGTGGCACCCCCAGAGACCCTCCTCCCTGTCCATGGATAACTTGGAGAGGCTCCAGCAGACTGCCCCTCCTCTCTCTTCTTCACCCTTTCCTTGGCCCAGTGGTGGGGAGTGCAGTATTCAGCAAGCCTGTGGGTTTGGGGCAGGTTCTAGGGCAGTGGGCCTGCCCTGAGGGGAGCTGGCATGGCTTGCCTTAGGGCTGCTAGTGTGATTGCCGCGTGGCTTTCTGGTGCCCTGGCCCAGCAGGTGGCCTCCTGGATCCCCTCACTTCCAGAGCCCCAGGCATGCCGTCGGACACCCAGCCCCGCCACCTGGAGCTGAGAAATCCAGTCTTTTGGAAATCGGAAGGCTGGAAAGAAGAGCTGGGTCTGTTGGGGTAGCAGTGGTCAGTCTGGGGTGTGTGTGAGGGGCACATGATGAAGGCTGACACAAGGGTATTTGTTCCCGTGATTCAGGGGTGGTGGACAGCAGTGTGTTGCCAGAGTGTGTGCACTGATCTGTGTTAGGGCTGTACCCCCAGAATCGAAGGGCGAGCACACATGTGTGCACATGTGCAGGGGTGTGTGTGTGTCAGATGAAGGGAATTCATTGCCTCAGGTCTGCTCACACTGGGGAGCCTTGGGAGAACTGATACTCCAGCATAACAGAGCCTGGGCTCCAGAGCGAGCACTCTCTGGGACATGGGGCTGTTCTGCTCACCTGCTCCTCAGGTCTGGGGCCTGCATGGGAGCCCTGGGGTGGGGGTGCCTGTCCATCCTTTTGGGTGGTGGGCAGGCCCAAGGCCAGCCCTGTGTGAAGTAGACCTCAGAGGATGACCCAGGGCTCTCTGAACAAAGTGTGTTATCCTAAAGACACTTTCTTGCCATGAGGACACTCAACTCCTTCTCGTTTCCTAGGGGTAGGGGATAGCACTCCCCAACCTGGCTGCGGGGGGGGGCGGGGACCCTTCCTGAGTCACTGGACAGCTTTTCTTTCCTCCTTTCCTCAGTGGCTTCCTCTGACCATATGGCTTCCTGCTGGGGGAGGGGCTGGTCATAGAGGCTCTGAGGACTACCCAGTGGCCCCACTAAGTACCCCCAACATCCTCCTGCCCTTCCTACCAGGCTTAGGCTGTGTGTGTGTGTGTGTGTGTGTGTGTGTGCGCACGCGCGCAAGCTCAAGGCACCTGCCTCTGCCCATTTAGGAGACAGAGGCTCTGAGAAAGAAAATGAAACCAGGAGATGGAGAGTCCTGGAGTGGAGAGTGATGGTGGGAAGGAAGGAGATCGGGGGGAGGCAGGCCTATTTTTATTATCAGTCAGTCTCTGGGACATGAGAGAGGGGTGTTCTCCCTTTGACACTGGCTTTCAGCTTGTATCCAGACGTCCCAGCTTGGCTGAGGAACAATGGGGCTCTCTTCTCTCCCCTCTACCATGCCAGTCTTTCCTCCCATAGAGAAAGACGAGAGAGGGGGAACATGGCTCTCCAGGCAGATCTGGGCTTGCCAAGGGGGACAACAGTAGGACACTGTGTTCAAAGAATGTGAGTGGCCCTGACTGGCTCCTGGTGCCATGGGCTGCTCTGTGGGGGCAGGGCCAAGCCGTGGGAGTGTAAGGGGGGTCTTCCCCTTCTGCAGAGGGAAGCTGTGCCCTGTGGTGCCTCAGCTATTTGTAGGCCATTCTGTCTATCCCCCTGCCTCTGCTCAGTACACACTTCCATGTGCCAGTCTATTGGGATGGAAAGGGGAGTAGAGAAGTATCTCACTCTCAGATGGCTGAGTGCCTGGTACTAGGGTCTCTGTCCTTCAAACTGGCAAGTCCCCCCTCACCCAGCATCCTGGGGTGCTATAACCATCTGCAGCCCCTGAATATGGAGGATGCTCTGGGCAGGTCAAGGAGAATGTTCTGTGTTCCTCTAGGAGGTTCAGTGTCCCAAATGAAAACAGACTCATTTTTTTTTTTAACAGACCCATTTTTAAGAGCAAATATCAGATCCTCAAAGAGGGAAGCCACTCCGTGAAAAGGCAAAGGGATCTGCCAGAAAGAGGCTTCTGGGGGTGCACGAGCCCGGAACTGAGACCAGCCCTAATGCGTTTCTTTTAAGCTTGATGCTGAACTCAGTTCCAAACCCTGAGAGCCTTTCCCGAATGGGCCTCCTTTGTCACAATTATTATTAGAAAATCAATGGCTATGTCTGTTTCTTTCTAGTGTTTTTGCCAGGAATGAAACCGGCAGCAGCTCTGATCCAATCTGCCCAGGAGGCCTGAGTGGGGCAGGGGGCTTGGTGGAGGGAGGAGAGTTTAGCTGAGCCGGGGCACCCGCCTTTCTGTGGCCTGGGGGCCTGGGAGTCTGTAGGACTAGAGTGTGCTGCTGCCTCCGCTTAAGGCATGCCCTTCCTGCCTCCAGGTGGATGCTCCCCTGCACCCCCAACCTGGCACAGACACAAAGGCTGCTGTGAACAGCCTTTGGGTGGGATTGCGGTGACCCCTATTTTTCTATTCTGAGAATAAGGGCATTTCAAGTCTCAGGGCTTATTTGCTCTAAGGGAACATTTGTGAATGTTAGAGTGAAGGTGGAGTCCAGTTTATTGTCCCCATCCAGAGTTTTTTCTCAGCTGAGATGGCAGCAAGGCTGCCTCTGGATAATAGAGCCTGAAGGCTTCTGGGACTTGGGCAGAGAGTTTTCTAGGATTCTGGGAGCCAGCTCAGTGAGACTCAGAGCACACCCATGTAACATGCAAGTGCCAGTCCCTCTGCTCTCCTGACGGGCCCCTCTGGACCCCCTGAGTGTGGGAGAGCATGAGGACATGTCCCAGAGTGACTGTGTGTGTGGGAGTGTGTGCCTGCCCCAGGCTTGGCAGCCTGCAGCCTGCAGCATGCGGGTCATGACAAATAGAAGAGGCTTCCCAGCCGGCGCTGTGCACAGCAGCCTTTGTGGCTGTGCCAGGTTGGGGGTGCAGGGGGCCGCCTGGGGCCTATAGTCCCTACAGTGGATGGTAGAAGATGATTCGGTCTGAATGATGGTGATTCTGCTTGGCTGCACTGACACATCCCTAGGGGCTGGAGGTGTGCTAATGCGCACGCGTGTGTGTGTACATGTATGCATGCACTCACTCGTGTGCTATGGGACAGTGTTCCCAGATGTGTGTGTAGGCCCTCACCCCCTGTGACCTGAGCCCTGTGGTGAAGGCAGGGCTGGGAATCTCCTCCCGGAAAAGGAAGAGCCCACCCTCCTGGTGAAGTCCTGGCTTCTGGGACTTGGGCAGCGAGTTTTCTAGGATCCTGGGAGCCAGCTCAATGAGGCAGTGGATTCCGAGCCTCAGCCCAGCTGTGAGAAGAGGGTGTGGGAAGGAAGGAGGGGAGGTTAACAGTGGCCCCAGGCCTGTGCCGTGGGATTGGGCAGGAAGCACGGAAAAGCAAATGGAGAACATGACTTTTCCTTGCCTGCTCTTCAGCCAGAAGGGGCAGGGTGGGATCCTCGGCCATCTCTGGGGCAAGAGAAAAGAGAGAGTAGCTGAAGGGTCATTATAAGGGGAGTTGGAAGAGGTTTCAGAGGTGCACTGGATGAAGGTTGGGGAACCCCCGAGAAGGTCAGCAATATCCTGGGGCCCAGATAGGGCTGGGGCTCTGTAACAACACTAGGTCATTTCTTCGTTTCTCCTTGAGAGCACCATTTGCAAGATGATGCAATTTAGCTCTTTCCAAGAGTTCTTCCCCATGGGCTCGGTGTTGCTGGTTGGTTGATGTAGTTGCCTTGGAGACTCCTTCTTCCCTTCACCGCCCTGCCTTGTCTGGAAGCTCTGGCCCTCCGCCTCCGGGGGTTGGAAGGAGTTGACATCTGTTTCTTGTATCAGTCCTTTGTGCTCTTGGTCCCAGCCCTATGTAGAGTAGATTCTTGTTGAAGGCCAAGCCAATCTAAGCACATCCCCCACCCTGTAGAGAAAACTGGGGGTGTGAACAGAATTGGGCACAGTAGGATTAGAGGGAGGTGCTGGGTGGGGGTGAGGGGGCGACAGGCCAGGCCTGTTTAGCCCCTGAGCTAAGAGGTGCTGCCTTATCTGGGGGGATTGGGCCAGACTGGTCATTTCTTTCACAAATGCTTATCACCCTCCATGCCCTGCATTCCTCCCAGGGGTGCAGGCTCGGGAGAAGCAGCCCTCAGAGCCCCCAGCCCCTCTGCGGAGACGGGCGGCCAGTGATGGACAGTATGAGAACCAGTCTCCAGAAGCCACATCCCCCCGTAGCCCTGGGGTTCGCTCTCCTGTCCAGTGTGTCTCCCCCGAGCTGGCTCTTACCATTGCCCTCAATCCTGGAGGGCGGCCCAAGGAGGTGAGTTTGTGAGCTGTCTTGTGGGGCTATAGAGGGTAGTGGAGCCCACCTTACATCTGTCTCCAAGAACCTGATGACCAGCTTGGCACTAATCTCTCAGTAAACTCAGTAATTTGTCCCTCTCTGCTTCCTTACTCAAGCTCTCTTCCCTGGCATATGGAACCTGGAGCCCACTTTCTTCCTTAAATAGTTTTATGTCCCTGCTTCTTACATTAATATTGGATTGAAGTTCCCTTCTTGTTGCTAAAGAGAGTCCCTTCATAGGGTGGTCAGGATCTGTGGCTGATGTAGGTGACCACAGTGTTCAAACTCCAAACCAGATAATATAGACTGACGAATATGTTTGGGACCCTTTCCAAATATAAGAGTTTTCTTGAGAGATTTCATTTTTATGCCAAAATGTTTGCACTTCTGAGACATTTCAGTAATTGGAGGCAGTGGGTCTCACACTTCAGCATGAATAACAGCCACCAGGGAAATTGTGGAACCTGTAGGCTCCCAAATCTACCTCCTGAGATTTCAGCATGGTAGATCTGGGGCAGGGCCCAGGAAGCTGCTTTTTAAATGTGTACCTAGAAGATTCAGATGCAGGTCACAGCCTATGAAATAGTATGCTGTCCTATAATGTCCAGGCTAAAGAGTCATTCTGGGTATGAATGGTTTTTGGACATCTGTTTTTTCCTGCCTTTTGGTGGGACTCCAGTTCCTTAATCCCAGGCTCCCTTCTCATTAGCCCTATTCTGAAATATTGTCAAGGTAGGTGCTCCTAAATTCTGCCCCTGCTTGACTGTGGCCTTACAAACAGCCATGCCCCTATTCTTTCCATTGCAGGGAGTTGTTGGGGCCATAGAGGGCCAGGACCTCCCTTTAAGCTCTGCATTTACCTGAGCAGCAGTGGAGAGTCAGGCCAGAGAGGGGATTTGTGGGCTGATTAACTTGCTGTCCTCCCACCCCAAGTCATCTGGAGGGGAGGCCCCTCCTGCTCAGGCCCCCCTTTCCTCCCTGTGTTCTCCTGCAGCCCCATCTGCACAGCTACAAGGAAGCTTTTGAGGAGATGGAGGGGACTTCCCCAAGCAGCCCACCGCCCAGTGGAGGTAAGGACTCATGCTGGTTTGTCTTATGTGTCCCCAGTCCCTCATCTCAGCCTTGCCTGGGGAAGTGCCCAGGTTTTGGAGTGATCACAGCATGCCAGCAAAGTTGAGTGTGCTGGGATTTGCCCATCTTCACCCTATAGTTCATTCCACACCCCACTGCTTGTGGCTGCCCTCTTCGCAGTCATCCACACTTGTACATCTAAGCACACCAGTTCTCAGGATCTGGATTGACTGACTTCTGGGCCGAGGTTGTTCAGAGTCTTTACCTTTAGGTTCCATCTTAATGTGACTCTTTGTGACTTGACTTTGACCTTGTTTCTGACCTCCACTCCTGCCTGCATCCAGGCACCTCTTCCATTTTAGGCAACCTAGGGAAGAAAGAAGGAAAGAAAGGCCCAGGACCTTCAGACTACAGAGACCCCATCTTGTCCATCCTTGGTTTCCAAGTGGGGGCATTTAGTCTGTAGCCCCTAGGACACTCACTGGGGAGGCAACTCCCCAAAGGACAGAGATATGTCCACTCAAAGATAAGACCTGAATGATCCCAGGAGTAGAGGCAGGAGAGGAGCTGGAGGAGATAGTCATGGGGAACAAACAAAGTGAGGGAGAAATACCAGCTGTGGGGGACTCAGGTCCCCAGGGCAAGCCTGGTCAACATGGAGGGAGAGACAGGTGACGTTCAGAGTCATGCTGACTGGGCCTGGCCCATGTTGTCCATGTGCCCTGAAGAGAAAGTAGGGTAAGAAGTACAGAGCTGGCGCTGGCTGTGCATTCCCCTGGGAGCTGGCTGTCCTGTGCTGGAGAGGAACGTGGCCATGGTACACAGCCTGTGTGCCAGCAGAGCTTGTATGGGTACCTCCATGGGCACGAGGAAGCTGACCCTAGGACCGATCGGAAGCCTCTGGAAGTCAGGGGTTTCCCAACAGCAGTGCTGTCCAAAGGAGATATCCTACGAGTATGTTTGTGATTTAAAAGCCTCTAGTAGCTGCATTAGAAAATATAACAGAAAACTGGTGAAATTAATTTTAATAATATTTTTATTAAATCCCAGATATTCTCATTTTAATCAGTAAGCAAATCAATGTAAAAATATCGAGCTATCTTATAATCTCATAAAAATGTGGCAAGAGATTGGTGAGATAAATTTTGATGTTTTATTTAACTCTAGCCTAAAATATTATCATTTCAACAGTAATCACTGTGAAAATTGATGAGCTATGCTGCTCTCTTTTATACTCAGTGTTGGGAATCCTGTGTGTATCTTACACTCAGCACGGGGCCTGCTAGTGAAGCTGCGAGTGCTGGCAGCATGGCTGCCATGCTGGAGAGCACAGGCCTACACACATCTACTCAGGAGCCAGCTCTGCAGCCTTTTGTGACTCAGAGGTCCCACCAAGGCCTTACCCTTCCATCCTGACACTGGCTCCCACTTGCTGTCGGGTCCAAGCAGCCAAGGGGTGGACATTCCCTGGCTGGGTGGAAGCCATCTGGACTGTGTTAGAATTGAGTTTTGCCTTCTCCTCTCCTTCCTCTTGGTCAGCTGTGGGTGCCCAGGGGGAGAAGGATAAGTTAGAGGTCTCATAAATACAGAGGGTTCTGGAGAGAAGGCAGAAGGCGGAGAAATGTGAAGAATTTTTCTCTCCGGAAGCCAAAAGCTTGCTTGGCTTCAGTGTCGCCCACTCTGGTGCCTCAGCAGAAGGGCCAGATTGCCTGGGAACTAGGGCAGTAAGGAGGAATTTGGGAACTAGAGGTGGTGGGGGAGAAAAACCAAGAGAGCCTCCAGCCCTCCCTCATCCTCTCGTCCCCTTCACCTCCTCTCATGGGCCCGCCTGCACCTCCGCTGCACCCACTGGACAGGCATCAGCATGCTGTGGGCTGGGCATCAACAGTGGCCTTTGAGGCTGGGCATATTCTTTTATAATTCATTATGTTCAACTGTCCATTCATTTGACAAACATGAGTAAGGCCTCGATAGGTGTCTACGAGCAAGACACCATGTTAGAAAATGGGGGGCAGGGATGGAGGAGAGAGAAACTGAATCTCTGTGTGTGTGTGTGTGTGTGTGTGTGTGTAAAAAGAGAAGGAGACTTGACAGAGACACACAGGCCTAGACCTACCCCATACCTGGGGGTATATGTTTGTACCTATTTGCTGCTATGGCACACCTGTCCATTTCACATCTAAGGACAGACAGAGGATGGAGTGCAGGGGTGGGCACCCCATCTGGAGCCCTGTGATGTCTCCCACATGGTTATGCACCTGCCCCTGCACAGATAACTTTTGCATGTTGCTTGCATTGGGAGGATATTTTTTTTGTTGTTATTAGTTTACTGTAGGTCACACTGTCTTTTGGGGAAAACAGGAGTGATCAGGGATGGCCTGGAGCTGGTGAATGCTCCCTGGGTATCTGAGGCCCACAGCAAGGCTGTTGAAGCCCTTGGGAGGCAGGGAGTGTCCTCAGGGGCTGTGGCCTCTGCAGCCTCCAGAGATCACTGACAGAAGACACAGGAGCTCATTTTTTACTTCACCTCAGAAGAGTATTGGGAGACGTGGCAGCTGCCACTGGGACAGCTCGTGACTGGGCATAACAGCCACTCTGCAGATTGGCTCAGAGTCTGGCTAGGACCTTGGCCGACAGGAGAAAGCTGGACAGCCCTTTCTGACCTTGAGTGTTATGTGACACTTGTAACCCAGATGGGCAGCCTGGGAGGAGCCAGGCTTTGCACAGGGAATGGGTGCTCTTGGCTAAGGGCGGCAGGCTCCTTTCAGAACACTGAGGGGTTTCTAGGGACAGAGCCCCACAATGAGAACTTCTCTCCTCCTGGATTCCCAAGGGACACACACAGCTGAGGGCTGATCCCAGGTCTGGCCCATGATCTCCATCTTCTGCTTCTGTCCTTTACAGGGTGTGTCATCCTGAGACTCTCTTTTCCTTTTGTTCTTCTCTAAGTCCATCAGAGAAGGGTTTAAAAGGTCAATACCTGTGTGCACATGCATGTTTGGGGCTTGGGAAGAAGGACAGGAGGAGGGAAGAGGGAATATGATAGAGAAAGCTGGAGACAGTCCCAGAAACCTGTGTGTGCACTGTATGCCACAGCAATGCAAAGGAGCCATAGGGAGACACCAAGGCCTTGGGGTAGAAATGATTCTCTCAAGGTTGGGACAAGGGTACCATTTCCTGATGCTTTCCCTTTCTTCTTTAAACCACCGAAATGTGGAAGCACCAAGGGACAGGACAGGGCAGTGGAGCCGCAGTAGCTTAGCACCATCTCCTGCTGCCCAGCCCTGCCCAACCCGTGCCCTCACATGGTGTGTCCGGCCCTCCTGCCCCTAGTCTCTCACTCCCCATGTCTCCCCTATTCTTTCTGGCACAGTACGATCCCCGCCGGGTCTGGCCAAGACACCCCTGTCTGCTCTGGGCCTGAAACCTCACAATCCAGCGGACATCCTGTTGCACCCCACAGGCGGTGAGTGACTAGCTGTAAGGGAGGAAGTCCTGGGCAGTGGCTGAGGGCTTGGGATCTGATCAGTAGCTGACTTTGTGCCCATAGGGAGGTCAGACCGGCGGGGGTGGGGGGGGTGGGGGGGCTCTCTATATAATGTTTGGGGGTAACAGCTTTTGAAGCTTTTCTTCCCTTTGACTTACGGGGTCTGTGTCTCTCCTAGCCACTTGGAGATGTAGAGGCCTAGGTCAGTGACCCTGGAGTTGGACAGGTCTCTGATAAAAGCCCGGGCTAGGCCCTCGTGTATATGCATACACATACACATATGTACACACTCCTGCTGCTCCATGCCAGGGCCTGACTTGCAGCCCAGCTGGCTCTGCCCTGAGCATCCATGGGACATCAGAGGCCATGGGTGTGCGGGGAGTTCTCTGGTCTGCCTCTTTGGGCCCACAAAACACTGCTTGAGAAACCCTTGATTAGGTAGCAGCCAACACTGTCTTCACCTTCCTGGCCCTCTTGCCTGGGAAGAACCTGCCACTCTCCCTCACCTGTGCCCTTCCCATTGTCCATCAGCATGGCAGCATCTTGCTTCGCTGCTGAGGATGGGGGACTGAGCCCTGGGGGCCCCAACAGGAGGAGGACCACCACGTGGATGCTCCTCAGCCTTGCTGTGGCCACATAGTCATCCTGGTTATGAGGAGAGGACAGGGCCCTGGCCTGCCCAGGAAACAATGCTCCTTCAAGTGAATGCCACCCACCCCCTCCTTTTGAGGGGGCCCCTGGACCCTTAGCTCCCTTAGTTACAGTTTGGAGCTGGCTGAGCCCAGAAAGTTACTCCCTAGACTGGTTTCGGGGCTGGGTGAGGGCTTTGAGGTTCAATTTCACTTTTTTTCTTTAGTTACCAGAAGAGTGATCCAACCAGGTAGGCAGGTGATGGCATGTATTATGACCCACACAGACACACAGCGGGGCACAGCCTTCCACCTGGAGTGTTGGCATGGCTAGGGACACTGAATCACCAGAGAGTTGGCTGAGGGAGGTGGGGGCTGCCTTTCACCGGCCAGCACACTCTTGCCTGAGGCTACCAGTGGTTCAAGACCCACAGGAACTGTATTAAATGGCTGTGGCATTAGGAAGGTTGAGAACCACTGGCTAGGCCCATGTGAGCCCTGAGTGCGGAGCTGCGAGCCGGTCAGGTTCTGAAGAGCCTCACCTGTGCACGCTAGACCTCAGCTCCTCTGCCTTGGGCCCTTTGTGGAGAGCCAAGCTTGGCCTGGCCTCACCCCACCTTTCCTGCCTCCTTTTCTCAGCAAATTATTTCTTAAGAATAATCCCTGTTAACCTCTCTCTCTCTTTCCTCTGCTCTTCTCACCTTCATCACCTGCCTTCTCTCCTGCCTTTCCTTCCTCCCCCATCTCTTCTTGTCTTCCCTCAGAGGAGGACGAGGGGAAGGTGGTGGCCCAGCCTCCTGAAGGTAAGTGTGCTCTGCGATATGGCTGCTTTCCTTCTGGGCCTGGGCATAGCTTTTCACGTGGGGCTTGAAAAGGCTGGCCTGGGCCACCCTCTTTTCTGACCGGGTCTCAGGTGACCAGGCACATGGCCTGGCAATGAGATACCACCCTGGGCACTGCCTTGGAGCCTTAGCCACTAGGCATTGGAGAGTCCCAGCACTCGTGCCGCTACCTTGTCAAAAAACTGTCCCTTTTGCCACTTCCTTTCCTGGAGCCATCTGCATAAGTCTGCCTGGGGTGCTCCCACCCACAGAGACAGGGGAGGGGGATGTACTCTTCCTTTTCCTGGGATGTGTTCCACAGGTGTTTTCAGAGTGCGGATTTTCAACCTTGGCATTTTGGTCTGAATAATTGTTGTGGGCTGGTCTGTGCACTGTGGGATGTCTAGCAGTGTCCCTGGCTCTTACCTGCTAGATGCCAGCAATACCCAGTCATGACAATCTGAAAAGTCTCCAACACTGCCAGTGTCTTTGGCTCAGAGGCCTCATCTTAGGGCCATGATGTGCCCTCTTAAAGGCTCTATCTCGCTTCATATACCACAGAACATACCAAGTCTGTCTTTCTGAGATCTTGGACACGGAGTGGGAATTTTGAGAGATCTATGGAATCACCCCCTACAAAAATATACTAGGACACTCACGCACATAATTTTAAAAAATGGTTGCAAAGAATTGGCATGTCTGTGGATCCAAGCTCAACCCCTGGTTTAGTCATCTAAACCAGCGCTGGGTACAGGGAAAGCAGAGGAGGGTGTAATTGGGCAGAAGGCCTTTAACTCTCAAGGTGAAGAGTGTGAATGAGGACTCAGGGCAGCAGGCGAAATGGCAGAGGTGCTGGCTTGTGTAGGAGGCCAGTGGATTGTTCTGGGCACCAGTGTCCCCATCTCTACCAGGAGGGGTGGGATGAAGTGGAGCTCTGACCTGTTAGGTGTTCTGGTGTTCCTACCTGGGCTCTGGGCCTGTGTGGCCTGATTTCCTTAAAGATTGGTTTTCTTGGGTCTACTTCCCACTTCCCTTTGCATGTACCACCAAGTGGGCATCTCTTGTGCCTCTCTTTCTCTGACATCACCCGGGTAAGATGGTAGGGGCTTCACAAAAGGCTTTATCTGCTTTTAACCAACCAGAGTTTGGGCAACAAAATCAGGCTGGTTGGGGGTTGCAGAACAAGACAACTCCCAGTAACAGATCCCAGAACAGGTGGGCCACAGCGTGCTCCCTCTGCAGGGCATGCCCCCCCCCCCACTCCTCTGCAGCCTTTTTCCCAGGTGGAAGCCAACCAATGGCTCCCGACAGGACAGTGGGGCTGGACATTGGAGCAATGCTCCTGTGTTTCAGGTGCCAGACCCTGCAGTAGACTCTCAGCTCTCCTTGGGGTTGGCCAACTTAAATGGCCTGGGGAGATCTCAAACACTCTTCAAGTGGAAGGCTAGGGATGGATTATACTACAGGTTGGCGGGCCCTGGTGATCCTCTCCTACTTTGGGGTGACTTTAGAGAAGTAGGTATCCATCTACCTGAACTGAGATCTGCCTGTGAGCCTCAGGAATGGCTCTCAGCTTAGTGTCTTGAGTCCTCCAGTGGTTTTTTTCTTTCTTTTTTTGCGGTTTTTGGCTGGGGCTGGGCTTGAACCTGTCACCCCCGGTATATGGGGCTAGTGCCCTACTCCTTAAGCCACAGGCACTGCCCTGAGTCCTCCAGTGGGAACCACAGAGTTTGGAGTGGAAGGTTCTTAGGGATCAACCCAGCCATGCTCATCATTGTAGATGTGGTGCCTTCGTCCTGGGAGGCAACAGAGCTAGATTGGAGTTACTGGTCTCTTGTGCTTTAATCAAGTGACTGTTTCAAAGCCCTTCTCCTGTCTCTAGGCGCCATGCCCTGGGATTCCAGCGTGGGAGTTGGAATGGAGTCAGAATTGCTGTCCGTGGCCAGTGGAGTGGGGTCAAAGGGTAGGCAGGGAGCAAAGCTATGGGTGCCAGTTCCATATTTCTTGACTCATGTGCCCCTCCTGAGCCAGGCTAAAGCACATTCTTTGCTGACCCTCTGAGGCTCTGCTCGACTTCCCTGCCTACACTTTGACAGGAAATGTGGAAGGACATCTGTGAAGCAGGATTATTCAGCTAGGGGGAAAGAAAAATAGGGGGAAACCCACTCTGTTCAAGGCACTGTGCTGAATACTTTTGGCTTTACCCACTCTTTCATTCATTACTTCAGGAAACATTTTGTGCACCTACTGTGTGCCAGGCTCTGGTGAGATACAGATGTGGGAGACAGCTGGTGAGGATGGAGATACCAACAGACCTCTCAGCATTAGGTAGAAGCACTGAGCAGGGTAGGGACAGGGTGTCATGGGGGCTCAGAGGAGGGGAGTGTGGCCCAACCTGAAAGGTTTGGAATTCTGACTGTTGAGCTCCTGGATCTGGCACTGGGGGTTTCCATATTCTGTCTCTTCTCCCCAGTCCACGTGTCTTCCATTTACTCAGAGACGGTGGACCCGTCTCTGCAGGCAAAGAAAATGCTCTTGAGGGTGTGGATGAAAAGATGCCAGCACAGGGCTGGAGGAGGCGCGTGGCCTGACGGAGCCAAGTCACCCTTGTGCTGCAGCTGCTCTCAGCCGCCAGCAGCCACTTGGCATGGGCTTGGGCTCCCGGAATGTTCTGCATGAAGCACCCTCCCTGGCCCCACCCTCCTGCCCTTCCCAACTCCCCTGTATGCAGCTGCATGGGGATTGGAGAAGAGGAAGAAAACAGCATGAGAGAGGGTGCCAGCAAGGGTGGAGGGCAGGAGTGGGCACAGCGGGAACTAGCCGCCAGTGACAGGGGCTGCTTCTAAACCCTGGGGCTGGGAATGGCGAGAACGAATTAGGAGGAACTTTCCTGTCTCTTCGCACTTGATCCTAGTTGGGCAGGTGGGTAGTCCCATTCCCACTTCACAGATGAGTAAACTGAGCCTCAGGATCCAGCTCGGGAAAGATGGGGGAGGGCCTGTAAGAAGAAGTATGTTGCCCTGAGGTGAGGAGGAGACTAAAACCTGAGGAATAGACAGAAAAAGAAAATTTGGGGAAACTAATGCCTGCGGATGAGCTCAGTAAATCAAATAACTTCCCAAAGGTCCTGCGTGCTCTGAGTTCATGAGGAGTGGAGACTGTGTGGCGGGATGTCTCTAGCTGATCTGGGATTAGAGGGGCAGGCGGGACAGCTGTCAGCAGGCAGATCAGCTGACTGAGGAAGAGGATTCAGTGGGAGAGGAGGAAGGAAGTGGGGGCCAGGTGAGGGCAGGGCCAGGTGGGGTAGATCTCTTGCCAGGCTGGTGACTTCACCCTGGGTAAGCATTCCTGTCCCCTAGTCCTTTGAGAACTTGCTGAGATTCTGCAGTTTAGGAGCTGAAGGGCATGGGGAAGAGGACAATGGGACTCTGCCTTAAGAACCTAGCCCTCCTATAACCATCTGAGGGTTTCTAATACTCTGTTCCATAGGCCTTCTGTGCAAACTTACGCTCAGGCCCCCAGGCTTCAGCTCGGGTAGGTTGGAAGAAGTTAGTGGGCACTCAGCCTTGACTAATGGCAAGCAAGCAGGTGGGAGTCTGGTCCTGGCCTCGACTCTGTCCTGTCTGTGGGATGGGGTTGTGTGGCACCTAATCTCAGTTTTATTGTTTCTAGAAAGGGTTCATGTACTTTTTTAAAGGGGTATAGCATAGGGTAATGCAAGTTGCTTACCCAATGTGTGGGGCAGGGTTTTGGTGGGAAACCAAGGAGTGTATAAGGATTATTAAGAGTCTAGACAGAGCAGTGAGGGGCGGGAAAGCCCCTGTGTCCTCCTAGCAGGAGCAGGGTGCCATCCACCTCCAGGACTGAAGGAGCCAGGAGAGGTGGAGGGGAGGGTGGTTACAGGATCTGTGGCTAGAGGGACATGGATGGGGGATGCACCTCAACCTCCTCTCCCCTCTTCTTCTCATCTGTGCCAGTCCCAAAGGCCAAGACTATCCACAGCCATATGGCAAGGGGATCTGTGTGACATAGTAGATAAAAGTCGGCCCTCAGGAATGCAGGTCAGGGTAGGGAGTAGATCAGGAGGATGTCAGTGGGTAGAAGACCCACAGACCTTCACAGTGTCATTCACGTGGGTTTCAGTTTGAGCTCTGGGCAATGGTAGGATGAATGGACTCTGGCCTGGGGAGTCCTTTGCAAGTCTGTGCATGAAGCACCCTCTCGTGGTCCATTCTCTCAAGCTAGGGTACCACTCCAGGTAAGGAGCTGGTTCTCCAAGACTGAAGACAAACACTGAAGCTCTCAGCTCTCTGATCTTCAGATGGGTGTCTGTGCAATGGCTGAGGGCAGGTCTGGGCCAGGCTGCCTAGGTTCCTATGCCCACTCTGCCACTTGCTAGCTGAGGCCTGGGCAAGGTACTTACACCCCCAGATCCTATTTTCCTTATACAGTTATTTGCCCTTTTTAACATTACAAATACATGTAACCCTATATAGAGTAGTCTCTTCTTTGGCTGATAGGTTGGAGTTCCAGGTAGAGCTAGGTCTGGGTATCCTATGAGTCTGTGTGCCCTCTCTAGGCCACACAGAGCTGCTATGAGTCTGGAGACTTTAATGCTGGTGTCCACAGCCACCTACTACTGTGCATCCTGGGGCACACTGCTCTACCTCTCTGGGCTGAGGGGTCAGAAAACCATGGCAGCTGGCCAAATCCCTCCCACCACCTATTTTTGTAAAGAAAGCTTCACTATAATGCAGGCTTGCCTGTTTATAGTAGCAGAGTTGTGTAGTTGTGATAGAGACAGTCTGACCCACCAATTCCATTTACTATTTGGTCTTTACAAAAAATTGTACCGCCCTGGTCAGAGGATCTCTGCATTGTCTTCCAGTGCCAGCGGGGCCTTGTGCATGGATGACATAGAATCATGATTTTGATGTGAATTTTGTCTGGGGCTTCTGTGAGGGGGGTGAGTGGCTTGGCTGGTTGAGGGAGGGTTTCTAGAAGGCCTTGCTGACTCAGGGATTCCTTCTTTGGGTGCCAAGGTGGCGGGTTCTACATCACCCTGTGCCTGAAATAGACTGTCCCATGCCTACTCCTTTGCAGAAGTACTGACCCAGCCCCATCTACTGTCACTGCTGTTGGTTGGAGCCAGCTCTAGGTGGAGGCCAGAGAAAGACTGGCAGGCTCCGGTTGGAGCTGTATGCAGACCCCACTGCAGCCTCTAGGACCTGCTCCTTAAAGAGCTCTGAGATATAGGACTGTTCTCTCCCAGCATCCCGGGTAGCCTGGCCCGTGTGCTTGGATATAGGATGCCAGACTTGAATGCCACCACAGAAGCCATGCTCAGGAGGCTGTATTCCTATGCAGTGAGGGCCAGTGATACCCAGATAACATCTTGGTGACCAGGCACCTTTCAAATTAAGGTTTTCTTTGGGGCAATGGGTGGGAGATTTCATTCTGGTTGGCAAGACCCTGGGCTTCTCACCCCAAGGGTCCTGGAGGAGGGGGCCCTCCTCTACCTGAGTGATCCTCACAATTCTCACTGGCAAGGACTTCAGGGGCCCAGTGCTGTAGATTCTGGTCCTCCTGGATAAGACAGGGACAGTGCCAGGTTTGGATGTTGCAGGAATGTCACCTCTCTCATTCAAGTCCCTGGGGAAGCCCAGAGTGCCCTGCTGCTTCTTCCTGAGTAATATGGCGCCTTTTGGGGGCTGGCCTCAGACGCCCTGGGGGAGCTGGATACTCTGGGCCCTGACTGAGCCTCCAGGCCTTGGTGTCCTTATATACAAAATGGCCTTTGTGGCACTTGCCTTGCCCCTCTTAGGCTGTTCAGAACACCAGGTGGGGCAGCATATGCAAAGGTTCTTTGTAAACTGCTTGGAGCCACAGAAATGTTGGAAGTGGGTGATGGAATGTCTAGCTGTTCATGAGGTTGTGTTTCCCTGATGTTGGGCTCTGGAAGGAAGCTGAGCATGTGGGGCGGAGATGGGTGACTGGGTCTTGGTGAAGAGGTTAGTGCATGTGGCCTGCTGGGCATGGCTCACCAGCACAGGCCTTTTGCCAGGAGCGCAGGCCTGTTTCTGCATTCTGGGCTCATGTGAATCCTGGTACTGACCTGAGATATGGGCAAGGGGGTGGAGCTGGAGTGCTGGGCCCACTGTACAGCCACAGCCTGGAGTGTTGCCTAGGGAATCTAGAAGGGCCTGGGGGCCCATCATGGAAGAAAGGGAGCTGCTAAAGGGGGTACCCCCTGTGGAAAGACATCTTAGGTCTTGGTTGGGAGGTTCTGTGATGGCCATATTCAGAGGCAGAGGCTGGGGTCCATCTGGGGAAAGCTCCTCTGAACAAGGGCCTGGTTAAATGTTGACGTGAGGCAGGGTGGGTACAGAAGGTGGGAGTCCCAGGAAGGTACTCTTTGCATACATTGTGGCCTGTTCCTTGCTCCCCGCTCCCCCCACCCCCGAGCTGGATTGTGTTTCTGGGCAGTTTGGGTGGTGTCCTCCACACTGCCACCCTATAACCTGTGCTCAGATTCTCTGTGCCCTTGTCCCTTCTAGAGCCCCGGAGCTATGTCGAGTCTGTTGCACGGACAGCAGTGTCTGGACCCCGAGCTCAGGACCCTGAGCCCAAGAGCTTTAGTGCACCAGCAGCCCAAGCCTATGGCCATGAGACACCCTTGAGGAATGGGACTCTGGGTGGCTCCTTTGTCTCCCCAAGCCCCCTCTCTACCAGCAGCCCCATCCTCAGCGCTGACAGGTAAGGCAGGAGGGGGCAGTGGGTGAAAGATGAGAGCGCAGGCCTGGGATGGAGTAGGCGAGGGCTCTTGGCTCTGCCTGGGGTGTGGTCGGGCAGAAATCACATCCAGATTGGGGCACCTTGCAAACCACTCCATCCAGGCATGTTGAGAGCATATCTCTGAGTGCCAAATGCTGTGTGGGGAGCCTGGGATGAGTGAGCTATAATTCCCAAGATGCTTTCAATTCCACCATCCAGAACTGTGCAGGAAGGAGTGAGTGGTACCAAGGTGAATGTGGCAGACTCCTCCCAAATTGAAAGTCTACCAACAGTAATGACTAGAACATAAGTGAGCACTTCTGAGATTCCAGGAACTTTGCTAAGTGTTTATATAGTCACCTACTCTTTGCAGCAATCCTAGGAGTTCCCACTTTTCGGAAGAGGAAACAGAGGCACAGAGGTGACATAGCTTGCTCAATGTCCACAGCTCAGCAGTAGCAGCAGTGGGGTTCAATCAGAGGCATGTGGTTCCAGAGCCCATGTCTCTACCCTTGGCCTGCGCTGTGTCACCTGCTTCCCACAGGATGACAGTCATATGTGCCCAGAGTTCACCAATAAGTGAGGGGCTTGGGGCTCAGAGCAAGGGCCATTATTTCTGGCTAGGGATGCAGAGGGGACTTCTGAGGACTGGAGGTATGTGAGGGGGGTCCAGAAAGATGAGCAGGATATTGAGAGGGTGTTCCAGAAGGACAATCCAGCAGGGACAGAGGGCTTGGGTATGTCTGTGTTGGGAGTGTAGGGCTGAAGGCACTTGGTCTGCCAGTAAGGGATGCCTTGGTGGGTGGGCAGCTGGCCTCCATCTTTCTGAGTGCATTGGACAGAGAGGAATGCCCAGAGTTGTCAGGGGAGGGTGGACAGTCCCTGCTTATAGGCTCAGTAGAGGAAAGAGGGCCCCTCCCAGCTTCCCTGTCTCCCTGGCCTACTACCCTGGCCTCAGCCCTGCTTCCTCTCTCACTGCCCTCTCCTGGTTAGGTGGGGGAGGGGGAGGGCCTGGTTGAGCAGAGGCAGATTCCCTCTGGATTTTAAGAATTCTGAAGCCCCAAGCCAAGCCAAGCAAGCACCCCCACCCTCCAGTCACCTTTCCTCCCCCACCCCCAGCCTCTTGACAGCGAGGCAGCCTTTATTGCTCAGGAGTTCTGGCTCTGGCAGAGGCCCCCTACTTCCCCCGCCCTCCTGGCTGTCTCCCATTCCTCAAAATCCAGTTTATTTCAAACCAGGAGGTGGCCTTCTGCTCTGGGCCCCTCTGACCTTCTTCCTTGTCCTTGGCTCTTGCCTGGGCCAAGAACACACCTCTATTGAAACCTCACATTACCCAGGGAACCTGAGTATCCAACCTGGCCCAGCCAGCATGGGACTTTCAGCCTGAAGCTCCAGCTTCTGGCCCACTGGCTGTGTAAAGACCGATGTCTCCAGAGGCACCTAGTACATTGCCTACCTGCTATCTCCTTGCAGCTGCTGTTTTACACAGACCTGGTCAACCTTACTGTCTCCTGCTGTATCATAGATGGATACAAGTTTGGGTCTGGAAGGAGTCTGGTTCATCCAATCCTGCCACCTCATTTTCCACATGGGAAAATTTTAAGAAGCAGAATCCTGATTTCCCAACTCACTGGCCATTTTCACCCTTCCCATCTGTCCTCTACGTGGACTTAGACTTAACTTTTACAGGGGAACTTTTGATTGTAGCTATTGCCTGAGGAACAGTCCTCTCTGCACTGAGTTTTTTTAACATCTTAGAATTGGGAGTGACCTCTGAGCTCATCTCATCTAACCTCCCAACAGAAAATTTCCTCCACAACATTCAGGCCAATAGTCTGTCAGCCTCTGCTTAAAAGACAGGAGTCTCATTACCATGCTTGCTCCATCAGCGGCCAGATCCAGTGCTGGAGAGCAGACCTTACAATGAACTGAAATCCTCTTATTTGAAACTCCACACTGCCCCCCACCCCACCATGAGTGCTTGTCTTTGCTTTTTCGGAGCCACTCAGGAGTGAAAGCCCAATTTTAGCATTCTCAATACTTGTTTAAGGATGATGATGTTATACCCATGGAGTCAAGGTGTGGATACCTCCAGTAGGAGCAGGAGCAGGAAACTCCAGTGGGAGTTTCCGTGCAGCTGGAGGCTACCATAGGACAGCTACTTTCAGTTTAGATAGGAGAGATCTCTTTGCTTTGAGGTATGGAGTCAGGATGGTACAGTGCAGAAAGTGTGGGCTTTGGCATCAGATATTGGCCGAGTTGAAACCCTGTTTTTTTTTATCAGCTGTGTAGTCTTGAGCCTACTTCTGAACCTCTCTGGGCCTTAGTCTCTCTTCTGATGTTTCCATAACGTGATGTACAGAAGCCCTGCCATTCTGCCACAGTGCCAGTGCAGCTGTTCTTACTGTTATTAGTGGCTAGGGGGAGGTCTGAGTGCCCACTGAGAACCCACCCTCACTCTATGCCCTCTGCTGTTCCCACCTGCCATCTCTCCCTAGCACTTCAGTGGGGAGTTTCCCATCTGGGGAGAGCAACGACCAGGGTCCCCGGACACCCACTCAGCCTCCGTTGGAATCTGGCTTCCGCTCCAGCAACCTGGGGCAGCCCAGCCCTTCAGCCCAGAGAAGCTACCAGAGCTCTTCTCCTCTCCCGACTGTGGGCAGCAACTACAGCAGCCCCGACTACTCACTGCAGCAATTCAGCTCCTCTCCGGAAAGCCAGGCCCGCTCTCAGTTCAGTGTGGCTGGCATCCACACGGTGCCTGGGAGCCCTCAGGCACGTCACAGGACAGTGGGCACCAACACTCCCCCGAGTCCTGGCTTCACCCGGCGGGCCATCAACCCTAGCATGGCTGCCCCTAGCAGTCCCAGTTTGAGTCACCGCCAGGTGATGGGTCCACCAGGTACTGGTTACCATAGTAACATGGTCTCCAGCCCTCAAAGCAGCACAGTGACCACTCCAGGGAGCCCCAGCCTAGGCCGGCACCCAGCAGGGGCCCACCAGGTTTCTGGCCTCCATGGCAGTGTGGCCACCACTCCAGGAAGTCCCAGCCTGGGCCGGCATCCTGGGGCCCACCAAGGCAACCTGGCCTCCAGTCTCCATGGCAACACAATAGCCAGCCCTGGAAGCCCCAACCTGGGCCGTCACCTGGGAGGGTCTGGATCTGTGGTTCCTGGCAGCCCCAGCTTGGACCGGCATGTGGCTTATGGTGGCTATTCCACTCCTGAGGACCGGAGACCCACCCTGTCCCGGCAGAGCAGTGCCTCTGGCTACCAGGCTCCTTCTACGCCCTCCTTCCCTGTCTCCCCGGCCTACTACCCTGGCCTGAGCAGCCCTGCCACCTCTCCCTCGCCGGACTCAGCAGCCTTCCGACAAGGGAGCCCAACACCAGCATTGCCAGAGAAGCGGAGGATGTCCGTGGGAGACCGAGCGGGCAGCCTCCCCAACTACGCCACCATCAATGGGAAGGTGTCCTCGCCTGTCGCCAGTGGTATGTCCAGCCCCAGCGGTGGCAGCACTGTTTCCTTCTCCCATACTCTGCCTGACTTCTCCAAGTACTCCATGCCAGGTGGGTCTCTTCCCCTTCCATTCCCTCTCCTACTGACAAATTAAGTCTAAGAGTTAGGATGTCTGTCCCTGTCTCCATTCTGATATTTCTTGGGTGAACGCCTTAGGTGAATCACTGATTCTGAGCCTCAGTTTCCTTATCTGTGTAACAGGAGTTGGTGGTGTCTTTAGAATAAGTTTGCTGTGGGTGTGGGTGCTGTAATGAGGGTGCGGAGGCAGAGGCCGATGCTGCTGCTGGAAATAACAACAACGAATGGTATTACTGTCAGGCTTATCACCACCCCACAGCCACTGCCACTTGTTGAGCACATGCTATGTGCCAGGCTCCAAGCTAAGTACGAGCTCATTTAATGCTTAAGCCACTTGCTTAAGTAGGTATCATCATCCCCATTGTACAGAGCAAGGCTTGCAGAGGCTCTGTCACTTAGGCTTGCATTTATTATGTGTCTACACCTTGAGGGTTCTTGTGATTTAACTTAACCTTGAAAACTTGCCTTCCAAACCTGGCCCTTTATAACTTTTGCCATCTCCATGATCCCACATCACTCATAACAGGCCTGGCAGCCAGGTGTGGCATGGGCCAAGGCTGAGGGCTGGCACCCTCACCAGAGTCCAGTTTCTTTAGACCTGGCTTCATGGAAGCCTGTGCAGGTTTGTGCGGTGAATTGTTTACCCATCACCAAAACTTACCATCTTTGCCTCTACTTAGAGCAGTGTTTTTCAACCTTTTTAAAAATCTCACAGCACACTTGAACTTATAGTTAAACTTCCATAGCACATTTAAATTATGTGATCAAAAAAAGGTGAAAAAAAGAATATACTTACTGTGCTTTGAACTTCTTTGAAAATAATTTAACTAATGATCTTTAAAAATTTTCATGGCACACTTAAGATCCTCTCATGGCACACCAGTTGAAAATCACTGTATTGGAGGGTTCATTATCTCAGCACAAAGGTCAAGACTTCAGCTGATCTGTAGCTTCTGGGCCAAACCTCTAACCTGGCTGAGAGCAGAGTGGCTCTGGGGCACTGGCCATTTGAGGTAGATTTAGACTGTTTCGGGTAGCCTGGGATGGTCCCCAGCTGCCCAGATTCTCCCTGTGTTACTCCCAGTCCTGCCCTGAGTCTGCCAAGCCGGAACACCTGGAGTAACCCTGCACCCCCTGTTTCCTGTCGCCTACTGGGGACATCTGGTTCTCAGCCCCTCTCCTTGAAGGATGAAAAACTTCTAGTAGTTGGGACACTTCCTGTTTCCCACCATCTTCCCTGCTTAAAATAGCCTTTGGAGTCAACACAGGAAGGCACACGGGACTGTAGCTGCCTCTGACAGCTCGTTAAATAGGCCACAGCAGCAGCGGGGCCTGAGGCTTTGGGGTAGGGAGAGAGGCTCTCTGCAGTTGCACCGCCCAGCTGCCTAACCCAGGGGCCTTGTCAGTGCACAGCTGCCAGGAAAGGAGGCCGACCTTGCCCTCAGGGTCCCCCAGACACAAATCCCAGAATCCTAAAGGAGTATAAATCACAAGTTGAAATTAACTAGGCACTGGAGACTACTCTGTGTCTCCTGGTCTGCTCCTTTAGCTTCACAGCGTCCACAGCACAGGCTTTGGAAAAATCTGGAATTGGAATATTCCTTTCTTCCTTTTCCTCTTCTTCTCCCAGCCCACTTTCTCTTCCTCCTCCTCCTCCTCCTCCTTTTCTTCTTTCTCTTCCTCCTCCTCTTCTCCCTCCTTTTTTTTTTTTTTGTGCCAAAAGATGGAGGAAGAGGGTGCACATCCTCTGCCTGGACAGAAATATAAGGTATAGCTGGTCCTGACCTGCGGGCCAGGGCCTCTGACCTGGGAAGGCTTCCCTGATCACCACCTATGACTTGGGCAAGTCGCTTTCCCTCTCTGAACTGCTCCTCATTTGTAAAACTGAGCAGCTGGACCCTATCCTGTTTGAGCTCCCTCAAGACATTCTCTGGCAGATTCCGAGGTCTGTGTTTTGGGGGTTCATCTGACCAAGAGGTGGCTATGTGGCACATAGTAGATGGCTGCTGGTGCTAGGTCAGCCGCCTCTTGGGGGTCCCAGGTCAGGAGTGACTTTTGCCCTATATGGTGCAGAACATAGGGAAGCCGCGCAGGAAATCGGAAAGAAGGGAGCAGACAGGGATCTTTCTGCCTCATCTTCATGGTTGTTATGCTGAAGTTAGGAACTGAGTCTGTGGAGGAAATTTCTAGAAGGCAATTCTCTTAGCCTGTGGGAGAGAAGCTGCAGGAAAGATTCAGTCTGCATCTTCTGGTGAAAGGGGGAGGCAGATGGCGGAAGGGCTTCCAGCGGGCTCTGTGAGAATGTCATGCCAGGCTTGTCTCCAGGACAGCAGCTTGGCGGGGTCAGTGGGACAGCACGAGTGGACACGGGATACTCAAGATTCCCTCCCACCTGCTCTCATGAGACAGGCTTTCTGTGTCAGTGTCCTGGGTCTGCCATAACAAAGGACGACACGTTTGGTGGTGGAAAATGACAGAGCTGTGTTCTGTCACAGTTCTGGAGGTTAGCAGTCCAAAATCACGGTGTCGGCAGGGCTGGTTTCTTCCTGAGGCTCTGAGGGAGGATCTGTCCGAGGCCCCTCTCCTGGCTGTTGTGGTTGCTGGCAGTCCTTGGTGTCCTGTGGCTTGTAGACACATCACCCCACTCTCTGCCTGCACTTTCACGTGGCTCCCTCCCCCATGTGTCTGTTTCTTTTCTTCTTAAAGGACATCAGTCATCTTGGATTAGGGCTCTCCCTAATCCAGCATGACTCATCTTAATTTATTTACATCTACGAAGACCCTATTTCCAAATAAGGTCACATTTATAGGCACAAGGTGTTAGGAATTTGACTTTCCGTTTGGGGGGGACACAATTCAACCCATAATGCTTTCTTTCTCTCGCCTTTTCCTTTAGACAACAGCCCTGAGACACGGGCTAAAGTAAAGTTTGTCCAGGATACTTCCAAGTATTGGTACAAGCCTGAGATCTCCAGGGAGCAGGGTGAGTGCTGTGCTCTGTGGCCCATCAGAGGCCACAGTCAGCTGTCCCCCCGCCATGCCCTCCTTGGGCAAGGAATAGACTCAGTCATCTTTGCAGTAGGTGGTGTCTCAGAGAGGGGGTTGGGGCACAAGTGTGGCAGTGTGAAGCACTTTCCACATGAAGAGTGGGCCAGCAGAAGCAGTAGTTGTAGATGCTCCTTGGAAGGGCCCTTACAAACAGCAGAGTCTTGGTTTTCCTGAGAAAAGTAAAAGACCAGCCAACCAGATATGAAACCTCAGTTCTCTGTCTGCATGAGGGGGAGGTTTTTGCATTTTATAGAGAAAAACAAAGCTGGGAATGTGGGGCCGGAGACAAGGCTCACCTCAGGCTCTCCAGGGAAGTCTGTGTGGGTGTGGGGCAGGGGCAGCAGCAGCCCGTGGGTCATCTCTGGACGCTGCCTGTTTTTGTTAATGAGGGTTTTTTGGAACACAGCCATACCTGTTGGCTTACATCCTGTCTAAGGCTACAGTGGCAGAGTGGGGTTGTGACAGAGACTGCATGGCCTGCAAGCCTGAAATATTTATACTCTCTGTTCATCTACAGAAAGTTTTCTGGTCCTAGTACAGGAGCCCCTATAGGAGTGTTTGGATTCTAACTTTAAAGAATGTTGTCTCACCTAAGAAAGAAAGAAGTTCAATAGGCCCAATGAGACTTAAATAAAGCCCAGGCCACCGATTTCTTATTTTCTCTTTTCTCACCTCTCCCAATTCAGCCATTGCGCTCCTCAAGGACCAGGAGCCAGGGGCCTTCATCATCCGTGACAGCCACTCCTTCCGAGGGGCCTACGGGCTGGCAATGAAGGTGTCTTCGCCACCCCCAACCATCATGCAGCAGAATAAAAAAGGTAACCTCACCTCCCAGGACAGGGCTCAGGACAGGTGAGTTTTACTGTCCCTCATTAGCCCCGTTGGAAGAGCACATCTTGGGCTTGGTGACAGTTGGGAGTCGGGGACCAGGGAAGCAGGACTACTGGGCTGTGTTTCCTGAGGTCTGAGGGAGGAGCAGGGGTCTCTCCATTCCATGGGTTCTGGCTGTACCACCTCTTCCCCCCTTTCTCCCACCCCAGCCCGGCACACTGGAGAAGTTACAAAGCGGTCTTAGAGATGGTGGGAGGAAGCCATGAAAAGTGACTCTTTCCTTCTCTTCTTCCCAGGAGACATGACCCATGAGCTGGTGAGGCATTTCCTGATAGAGACTGGCCCCAGAGGAGTCAAGCTCAAGGGCTGCCCCAACGAGCCAAACTTTGGTGAGCTGCCCACCCTCCCCCCCACCCCGCCATGCTCCTAAAGTCTGGCTCCAGTCTCAGCCCTATCCTGGGGTCTTCCAGGGGTCTGATGACAAGTTCATTCCACCACAGGCCCTGCCAGTCCCCCTTGTCATAGACTCAGCAGAGAAAATAATGTTGGCTTTCCTCCCTCTGTACCATGACTCCTAAGTTCTTCCTCATTGATTCATCCTACCTAGGGACACTAAGACTTATTATGGTTATAATTGGGGTAACAGTGGCAATGGCGGCTGCCTTTTTTGACCACCTACTATATGAAAATTACTGTGTCAGTGCCTTGTTTTATTTGTGGTCTCACAATAATCCTGTGTGGGAGGTGCCATTGTCCCTACTTTATACATAAAAGCTGAGGTTCATCAGAGTTAGACTATACCCAAGAACACATAGAGAAATGACTGAGCTGGGATTTGCTCTCACAATTCTTTGATACTTCACTGCTCTGCATTGCTCTGAGAGGGGCCCCAGTAACCGGAGGGACTTAGGGGAGATGTTAGGAGGAACTTTCTGCTAAGGCAGGTTGTAACCTTGCGGCTGCTACAATGGGCTCTGGAATCTTCTCCCTTGAATCTTGCTAAAAAAGAAGGGAGTGAATTTTGTGCTTTGTTGGTGGGTCGTGGGAGAGGTGACAGTTCTACATAGTGGGGTGGGAGTGGGGGTTTCCTCACTGCCCTCCCCACCTCCCAGTTTCAGTAGTGCTCCCCTGATGCAGTCTCCCTCTCTGCAGGATCCCTGTCTGCCCTCGTCTACCAGCACTCCATCATACCCTTGGCCCTGCCCTGCAAGCTGGTCATTCCAAACCGAGGTAGGAACGTGAGTCTCCTTGCTCCCCTTGTGCTGGCCTCCTTCACGTCTTGGCCCTGCCCACTGCTCCGGAACATGGCTCAGGGTCAGAGGACATGAGTTAGTTTGCCAATCTGGGGAAACTCAAAACCACTCTCCTTTTTTTCCTATTAAAAAAAGAAGAAGAGAAAGTTCATTAAAAAGCTGAACTCCAGGCACATATATAAATTGACTCACCAGATGGTTCTAGGGGGAAATCCTCTGCAGGCTTCAAGAAATTCATACTGAATCTTCAGGTTAAACATTAAACTTCATCCCAGGGGATGCATTAGAAGCAGATAGTCAGGAGAGAACGGGTCCTGGAGGCTGAGGGTGCATCAGCGGGAAGAGGGAGGAGGAAGCAGATGGAGTTGTTGAGGTTAGTCTGAGTGGAGAGGACAGAGCTCCAGGGATCTCTCAGAGGAGTGGGTAGCTGGGCTTTGCATGGCATGTGAGGGAAAGAGCAAGCTTCCCAGCCCTGGAGTTTCTAGTACATATGCTGTGATGAGGGGGACATTGAGTTGGGGAAAAGCGAGTCCTCTTGATTGTGGGAAGATTGAGTAGGACCCAAGAGCATGAGGACATGCAGGATAGAATTTGAGAATGACAGTGGGGCTGGTGCAGGAGAGTTTAGTGTCTCTTATAGAGGTGTGTCAGGCCTGGAGGGCGACAGAGGAATACTCAGAACTCCTTCCAAGACTTTACCTCCTTCATGTTTACATGGATGGAGCTGGAAAATATTCTTCTTTGCAAAGTATCACAAGAATGGAAGAAAAAGTATCCAATGTACTCAGCTCTACTATGAAACTAATTTATAGCTTCCATAGAAAAGCTATAACCCAATTTTAGCCCAGGAATATTGGGAGAGGGGAGAAGAAGAGGAGGGGAGGGTGAAGGGTGGGTGGAGGGAGGGTGATTGGCGGCATCACACCTAGCGTTCATCCTTTAAGGGTACATGTGAATCTCTCTAATTGTAGAATATAAATGTCTTAACACAATAACTAAGAAAAAGACATGAAGGCTATGTTAACCAGTTGGATGAAAGTATTTAAAATTGCATACAGAAACAGTAC